TTTCTTCTTATTAAATTCTTGTGTGATTTTATCTTTTTCTTTTGGTGTTCTGAATAGTTTATCTTTCATGATCATTTCTTCAATTGAAATGATTGTATTGATTATTTCATTCCTTGTTGTACTTAGTATTTCTTCATCTGAATTACATTCTTCTATTATTTTATTCATTTTATTCTTTATTATTTCTATTCTTTTAATTGTTTCTTGACTTTTTTCTATTATTAGTTTTCTTCTTCTTTCTGTTTCATCCATCCTATCAAATATTCCTTCTCCTCTTTTAATAGCTTCTGAATATGTTTCATCTGGTTTTATTTCAAATATTTCATTTTTAATACTTCCTAAATAATATTGATAATGTTTATTAATATCATCAATTGATTGTTGAATATTTGGAATTGTTTCTACTTCTTCTTTAAAGAAATGAGTGTTCTTGTTTATTAACTCTTCCATTTTAATTTAATGAATATCAGATCAAAATCAGATGATTAAATAACTAAATACACGTTTATAATACTCATTTTATTTATTATTTTATCATTCTATTATTTTAATAAACGTCATTTCATTTTATTCATTAAATTAAATGTTATTAATTTTATTATTATTATATTATTCTTTATGATTCGAAGGTATCACGTCAGAGATACACAACACAGAACCCTAAAATATTATCATCATTCAAATACACCAGTTATGGATTGGTTATAATATTATATTTGGTTAGAAAAACATCATAATCAATACTTCAAGAATAGCAGTGTTTATTATGTACAATGATGGGATATCATTGATAATAAACGAATAGGTATTTATAAAGATGATATTATTACTTAATATGATACAAATATATTTGATAATATAAGATTATCAAAAAAATGGTCTAGTGGTTGATACTAAAAAGAATATTAACCCAAAGCAGCACAGTAGTAATTATATACTCTTCTTAAAATAAGAAAATAAAGAAGAATTTTAATACTCATCAAAATCAAATAGAAATTAAATGATGAATATTTAAATAATAGATATTTAAAATACTCTATTCCATATCAAAAATGAGAAAAGAAAATTATCATAATTCAACAACTAAAATCAAAGAATGAACTAATAGATGATGAACAAACACTTTTAAAGGAAATGGATTAATTAATCTCCACTGAACAATATAAAATGAAATTATTAACATTAATTAACTACTTTTTATTGCGATCCTTTTATCAATTCAGAGTATATAACAAATTTTGTTGCCATGGCTATTGAGTAATGTCACAGAATCTTGTAAAGAAAATCAAACAAGACACAGGTATTCAAGTTCAAAGAAAAGAAAGGACTTCAATAGCAATAAAATGCATAATAATTATGATAAAAGAAATAACAAGAAAAAAGGGTTTAGAAAAAGAAGAATACAAAGAAAAACAAATAAAAAACAAGGCAAGTATAATGATAATAAACATTATACAAATAACAAATCTAAATGGTTAACAACAAATGAAATTCAAAAGAAAATTAAAAGAATAACAAGAAAATGGGAAAAAGGAGAATACGAAGAAATACTTAAAAAGTACGAAGGTAAAGAAAAGAAATGGTATAATATTCTCCAAGAAGTATATTCAATAAGAAAGAAGAAAACACTAGAGAAAATCAAAGAAGAATTCAAAGATAAAACAAAAGATTGGACAAGTGAAGATATTAAAACAATCGAAGAAGAAATCAAAAACAAAAATCGAAACAAAGAAATGAACGATAGATGTAAAGCTGCAAGAATAATAAATGAAAAAGAAAATAAAGGGAAAACACAAGATAAAGAAGAGAAAAAGGAAGAAGAAGGCAACAAAGAAGAAATTAACACACTTCAAAATAAAATTAAAGAATTAGAAGAAATCATTAAATAACTTCAATCAAAAAAGAAAGAAGAAGAACGAACTATTTCAAATGAAATGATTCAAAAAACATGAGACACAATTAGAAAAGAGTTTGAAGAAGAAATAGAAAAGATGAAAACACAAATGAACAATATTCAGAATACATGTAATGAAATAAGAAAAGAAAACTCTAAATTAAAAGAGGAAAATAATACATTACAATCAAAAATAAATGAAATATAAATAGAAATAACGCATAACGATGAAATCATTATTCTCTTAGTTAATTATGAGATGAAGAAGAATGATGATGATGTGATGAAGAAGAACATAAGAGATAAATAAAATCAAATCTCTGTATATCAAAAAAGTGCGATTCAAAACTTTGAGATTGCAGAAATAACAAGAAAAGAACTAGACCATACACAAAGAGAAAACGAAGAACAAAATCAATTAATATCAAATTATCAATAAATTATTATTTATTTTTTATTTCAGAAATTAAGAAGAAGAAAACAATAACATTAATGATAAATACCAACAAATACTGAGGACATCATCATCATGGACAATATAAATGAATAAAACTACATTATGAAAAATACAATATTAGAAAAAAGAGCAAAACACTGAATATCAAAAAACAAGAAATGATAATTAACGAGAACCAAAATAAGCAAAGAAATAATGAATCTAAATAAAAAACCCCACAAAAAGAAAAAGGGGCAAAATAATTTGAATCAATAATAAAAAGTAGATAATTGAGTATTAATAGAAATATTTTCTACCGTTCCTTGCTCAGAGGATATTAACTAATCCCGTCAATTTGCTTTAAATGTATTTGTTCTTCAACTATTGCCTTATTCTTTGCTTCCAGTTGTTGAATTATGATAATTTCATTTTCTCATTTATTTGATATGGAATAGAGTATTTTAAACATCCTTTACTTAGATATTCATTATTAAATTTCTTTTTAATTTTGATGCGTTTAAATTTCTTCTTTATTTTATTATTTTAAGGAGAATATATAATTACCACTGTATTGCTTTGGGCTAATATTCTTTTAGCCTCATCCACTTGACCCTTTTCCTTTGATAATCTTTCTTATATTATCAATTATACTTGTATTCTAACAAGTAATAATAACATCTTTATAAATACCCATTCGTTTATTGTCAATGATATCCCATCATTGTAATTAATAAACACTGCTATTCTTGCAGTACTGGGTAAGATGTTTTTCTAACCAAATACAACGCCATAACCAGTCCATAACTGGGGGAATCGAAGGAAGGAAATATTTTAGTGTTCTGTGTGGTGTCTCTGACGTGCTACCTTCGAATCTAAATAAAATAAAGATATAAAATAAAAGATAAAAAGAAATAAAAAAAGAAATAAAAAAAGAAATAAAAAAAGAAATAAAAAAAGAAATAAAAAAAGAAAGAATAAGAAATAAAATAAAGAATAAAAAGAAATAAAGAATAAAAAGAGAATTATAAAACAAATATAAAGAATGATATATCAATCAATAAGATAGAAAAGAATAATATCCAAATGAATAAATAAGAAAAGAATAATAATAATATAAATGATAATCAGTTATAATTTATTTCTACTTTAAATTATATTGTATTTCATTTATTGTACTTTTATTTCATTTATCATCATTTGTTAAAACAATTTCTTGGTATTCTTTTATTTTTCTTTAATTCTTTTTCACATCCACATTTATAAAAACATCCCCATCCAAATGATGTAATTGATGATGGTATATTAATTGATGTTAATGATGTACATTTATAAAAACATCTATCTCCTAATTTACTAATTGATGATGGTATATTAATAGATGTTAATGATGAACATCCATCAAAACAATAATATCCTATTTCACTTATTGATGATGGTATATTAATTGTTGTTAATTCATAACCATTATAAAAACATTCATATCCAAGTGATTTAACTTCTGATGATATTATATTCCCATATTTATTTCTATCTTCATATGTATATATTATATTTTTACAGATATTTCCTTGTTCTTTTTCTTTTAAATGTGTTGAATAACTTACTAAATACCATATTACTTGTTTAAATATTTTCCATCATTAAATATTTCATCATATTTATTATAAATATGAAATGTTTCAATATTAGCAAATAATTTTCTTGAATATTCATTTAATGGAATTGGATTAAAATGAAATCGTTCAATATTTCCTTGAAATCTTTTAATTCCTATTTCTAAATTAATAAAATCTTTAATGTCATCAAAATACATTGATGTTATCATTATTTCATTATATCCTATTTTCATTCTTGATTTATTGTTTATTAGTTTGATTTATTGTTCTTTTATTTTTATATTTTAATTTCTTCTTTTTTATTATTTATCATCATTCTATTTTTATTAATTGATATTTGTTATGAAAAACATTAAATAATAAGAAATAAAATAAAATGAAATTATTTTTATTTTTAATAAATTCATAATTATTATATATTTCATTTTATTTTATATATTATTTCAATAATTAATAAAATATGATAAAATAAATGATAAATGATAAATATAATATTCAAATCATAAATTAACAATGAATAAAATAATATATCAAATAACGAAGAATGATAAATAAATGAAATAATAAAATATAAAATTATTTAATTCATATTTACATTCATTTACATTAATTTAAATCATTTCAATAAATTATAAACAAGTAATTATACAATAATAATAATATAAAAATATAAAAATAAATAGAATAAGTTAATAAATAATATAATAATATAATTATAAACAATTTAACATAGAAAATAAGAAAATAATATCAAATGAAAATAAAAATTAGAATAAATAAAATAATAAACATACAATAAAATGAAATAATATAAACATATAAAATAAATAATAAATAATAAAATGATAATAAATCAAATAAACAAAACATAATATTTTTAAAATTAAAAATGAAATTAAATAAAAAGTAGTTAATTAAGTATTAATAGAAATATTTTCTATTGTTCCTTGCTCAGGGGAGACTACTAATCCCGTCCCTTCGCTTAAAAGTATTTGTTCTTCAACTATTGCCTTATTCTTTGCTTTTAGTTGTTGAACGGTGAGAACTTTCTTTTCTCATTTTTGATGTGGAATAGAGTATTTAAACATCCCTTATTTAAATATTCATTATTTAATTTCTTTTTAATTTTGATGGGTTTAAATTTCTTCTTCATTGGGTTTAGACTTCTTCTTTTTATTTTCTTATTTTAAGGAGAGTATATAATTACCATTGTATTGCTTTGGGCTAATATTCTTTTAGCCTCATCCACTTGACCCTTTTCTTTTGATAATCTTTCTTATATTATCAATTATACTTGTATTCTAACAAGTAATAATAACATCTTTATAAATACCCATTCGTTTATTGTCAATGATATCCCATCATTGTAATTAATAAACACTGCTATTCTTGCAGTACTGGGTAAGATGTTTTTCTAACTAAATACAGCATTATAACCAGTCCATAACTGGGGGAATCGAGGGATGGAAATATTTTAGGGTTCTGTGTGGTGTCTTTGACGTGCTACCTTCGAATCAAAATGAAATTAAAAATAAGAAGATATAAAAATGAAAATAAAGAAATAAAAATAAAAGATAATACAAATTTTAATGATTATATAACTTGATTATATCATTTCATCATTCATATCATTAAATATATTTCATTTTATTCATATTCAAAATAAATCAAATAATATTCATTAATTAATCATTATTTATTAAATAAAATTATTTTATGAAGAAATAAATAGATAAAATATAGAAATTATATAAAATACGAATAAATAAATGAAAATAAATATTAAATAATGATTCATTATTTATTTTAAATAAACAATAATCAAAATAATATTTAATAAAATATGATAATGAATAAATATTTCAAATTAAATAAAATAAATATAAATAATATAACTGAATAAATAACATAAATATAAAACAATGAAATAATGAAATAAATATTATTTTATTATTTATTATTTATTCTATATAAATTTATTTATTTATTATTATTATTTGATTAATATTATTATCTATTTAACATGAAAATGAATATTAAATTATTATAATTAAATTTAAATGTTGTTATAATTAATTGTATTTATATTTTATTTTATTTCATCATTTTATATTTTAATTTTATATTTTAATTATCTTTCATTGTTATTTTATTATTATTCATAAATTATTTTAATTATTCTTTATGATGATTAATGTTGATAATTTATATTATTTTTATCAATAATTTATATATCTTATTCTTTTATTTCTATCATATTCATATTTATGTATTTTATTTATTTCTTTTATTATTCATATTATTATTTATGAATAATAATTTATTTATTTTCTGTATTTTCATTTCATATTTCAAAATATCTTGTATTAGATTTTCATTCAATATTATTTTATTTATTGTTTTATGTGTTGTGTAAATCAATATTGATTAATATCTAAAGTATTAACAATTATTTGTTTTCATTTTTATTATTTGATATATTCATCATTTTGATTCATGTATTGTCTTTCTATTCTAATTATTATAATTCAATTGTATCAATAACAATCATATATTGTAATCTCTTTATGTTCTATTTGTTTATTTATTTTCTTATTGTTGCTTATCAATTTCTTTCATTTCATTCTTCTTCAAAATCAATTTACAATATTCACTTTTCTAATTTCATGTATTCACAATAACAAATAATTTTGAATGTTTCATTCTGTTCATTTAATTTAATTAAATGAAAATGAATGATAGAAACATTCATTTAAATCATTAAAATTTAACATCTTCTTTATTTATCATATTGAATTTCATAAAATCAATTCATTATTCATTCATTATATCTTATTATCATTTATTATGACTCAATGATGTTTCTTATATTTCATGTATATTTTATATCATTTAATCATTCATTTTAAATATTTTGTTATCAATTATAAATTATTATGATGTAATAAAGTAAAAGAATGGTAAAATATTGTGTTGTGTAATAATAAGAGTTCTACAAATGATTATCATGTTCAAAGAAGACAAAATATAAGAGAAATGTGATTGATATAATCTTCTCAATTTAAAATAATAGAATCAACATAATGTTCACTTTTATGACTTTTTAGTTTTCAAATAGAAGTCAATAACAAGAAATGAATGATACAAAACAATAAATAATAAATCAAGATACAAATAATGAAGAAATGAAGTTAATCAAATAGAATAAAATGATAAAGAAATGATAAAATAATAAAGAAGATAAAAACAAGAAAACACAATAAGTAATAAAAGAATAAAGTTGAAAATAATAATTAAAATAAAGAGAATATATAATCAAAAGAACAATAAATAAGTGTAGTTTTAAAATAAATAATAAATGATATATAATAATAACACAATGAGAATAATAATAATAATATAAACAAAAGAAATGGTAAATAAAGAAATAAAACAAAAGAAGATATAACAAGAAATGAATAAACACAATAATAACAAATAAATATAAATGAATATAAATTAAATAAGATATTCAATATGAAAATAAAAGAATAAATAAAATAACATATCAAATTAATGAATAATAAAATCAATACAATCAAATAATCAAACAAATAAATAATAAACTAAATAATAATAATAATAATTAGTATTCAATAATATATATAAATGAGAATGATATTACTAATATTGATAGTGTGTATAAAATGATAACTATTTAAATAGTAATAATCATCATTGATTATATTTATTGAAATATTAAATCTTTGATTATTATTCAAAATATTAAATAACAAAATATAATGAATAACAAAATAAATAAAAAAGAGAATATTCTAATTATAAAAATAAAATAAAAATAAAATATAATAAAATAATAATAATAGAATTGTTTTCTAAGTTCTTTTTATTTTATTTTTTTGTTCATTCATTATTAATTTATCAATTCTTCATGTATTTATATCTCAAAACACTTTCTTTAAACATCATTTAACTTTTATCAAAAACAACTAAAATTAGAAATTCAATTAAACAAAACGTTTAAACATTAATAATGAGTATAGAAGGATTGAAACAAACTAAATTACTTTTAATTGGAGAAACAGGTGATGGTAAAAGTTCATTAGGTAATTTTATTTTAAAGAAGAATGTTTTTAAAGTAAGTGATAGTGATGAATCGAGTACAAAATACACTGGTGGATATTTTGGAGAAGGAGATAGAAGTGATGTATTTGTTGTTGATACTCCTTGTCTTAATGATAGTAGTGGATTTGATAATAAAAATATC